CCCCAGCCCTCCTCTCTCCATCGGATAAGACCCATTTAGCTCAATTACAGCTAAATGAGAGGCTGCGATGGAGATGAGAGAAACTGGGGTTAGGCTGTGAGAAAGCGGAGAACGTAATGTGGAACAGATGACGAGAACAGAGTGGGAGGAAAAACAGGACACAGGAGACACAGAGAGACGGAGAATTCCCACTCACCGTGTCTGCTTTCATAACCGTTCTCTGTGTTTCCATTTATGGCCGTGTGTCACGGATCCATTTCTGTGTCTGAGTGCATTTCACTGTATATGCATATGAGCAAATTCCTCTTTGGGAAACTGCATAAATGAATGCAAATTGTGAGTCTCTGCGTGGCGACAGTTCATGCTTGTGACTACAGAACACTCTACCTGAGCTGGGATTATTCTCAGATTGTACTAATACAGCTTTTGAAGGCAGTCAGTACTAATCTGTGAATAATTTAGGCCAGAGACATTTTTAGATTTATTATTTTAGGATGAAATTTAGTGCACCAAAACGCCGTTTCTAAACTGCCTGGCATGCAAATGAATAAAGCAGACATGACGGATGTTTTTGCAGACTAAAACCACCTGGTTGCCAGAAAAGGGGAAAAAATGACTGCAGGCCAAGTGCTGATTGTGGATTCAGGAAGAATTTGTTGAGCAATCTGCCAAAGTGTCCTTTGAGATCAGAGCAGCAGTAGAGTATTAGAGGAGGCTGCACACGACCCTGAAGAGAGACCCTGCTTGTTTGTGATAAATACACAATCCAGTTCTGTGTTTCCTGCCTTTTAAACATTCAGCACGTTGTTGTTTAGATGGAACCCTAACAAATAAGATCTCAGTGCAAAGGAATGCTCCCATTTCCTTGCCTTTGATTGCTCTAATAATGAGATTTCTCAAAGCGGTGCGGTTTGTGAACTCTGCATTTGCATGATGACGTGGCATGGAGGCAGAGGAAGGAAGGAAGGTCTCGTCTAACGGGGAGCATGGAACGAGGGAGCAGTTTGTAGGATTATTCTTAGGGTTCTGCATAATTTCATCATCATTTTGCAGTTCTGATGAAACATTCAGCAGGCCTGTAGTTTCCTCGTGTTCAGGGGGGGCAAAGCATTTGGATCATCAGGGAAACACAGTAACTGGTTCACATCTGAGCCACAGATCTTTCCTCTCTACCTTGGCACAGTTTTTTTCCCTCCCACACAGATTTTGACTCAGAAAATGCAGGACAGTCCCTGAGAGATCGTAGAGTTTTGTTGAGCTCATTTCTTAACTAAAATCTGTTCCAAGCCATCAGAAAAGTTGAACTATGTGTAAATCTTTCACTGCAGATCTGCTTCTCTTACTGCAGATGACTCAGCAGAACAGCCGGTTTCTAGCTGGGACACAGTGTTGCTTCACTGCTGTCCTTTAGCTTGGCAGTTTGTCAAAATGACAGATAGTGTCAGACATTATGGAGTTAGTTTGTTGAAGGTTAGGCTGATGATTAACAACAGAGAAAAAAAAATCTTCCAAAGCATAAATTTAACTGTTATTTATACAAAAGTTTTAAATAAAAAAGACACCTGAAGCCAGCTTTAAATAACTAGCTCTACAAAAACATTGTGAGGAGCTGTTTGTTAATTTTAATATAAACGCCTCTGGAAAAGATCCCAACTCATCAAACAGATGTGCAAGTTAGAATCACAGTAACGAGTAAAGTTGCTATCGTAAAGAACAGGAGTCTACACATTGTTTGACAGTCAGTAGTCTAAAAAGATCCTGTTTGTTGAGTTTTTTTGAATTCCTGTTTTTCTGTTGTGTCCTCTCATTGTTCCTTTCTGACAAATGCAGAGGACAGTTTGTTTTGTGCACAGCTGCTCAAACTGTATGTCTCTGTGACAGTTATAAAGCACTAGCATTGCTTGAAGGAACACATAAAGCGGGTAAAATTGAACACGTCACCATTTTTCTCAGTAAATATATTACTAGAGGTGCTAATGACATGAAATTTTCACCAGATGTCGGTAACAACCCAAGTGATCCATACATACAAAGAAATCAAACCATAAATGTCCAGAAATGAAGTTATTTGTAATAATGTGGAATAACACAGGGAAAAAGTATTGAACACATGAAGAAAGGGAGGTGTAAAAAGGCATGGAAAGCCAAGACACCAGCTGAACTCTCTCAGTAATTAGAAAGCAAGCCTGCCCCTTGTCAGTGCAAGTTAATATCAGCTGGTTCAGTCCYAAATGATGGCCAGGTATCACACAAAAAACATCTGATGATGGGTAAAAGTAAAGAGCTCTCTCAAGACCTTCACAACCTTATTGTTGCAAAGCATAATGATGGCATCGGTTACAGAAGAATGTCTAAACTTCTGAAGGTTCCAGTGAGCACTGTTGGGGCCATAATTCAGAAGTGGAAAGAACATTATTTCACCATAAACCGACCACGACCAGGTGCTCCTCACAAGATTTCTGACAGAGGAGTGAAAAGAATAATCAGAAGAGTTGTCCAAGAGCCAAGGACCACTTGTGGAGAGCTTCAGAAAGACCTGGAATTAGCAGGTATGATTGTTTCAAAGAAAACAATAAGTAATGCACTGAACCACCATGGCCTGTATGCACGCTCACCACACAAGACTCCACTGCTGAAGAAACAGCATGTTGAAGCTCCTTTAAAGTTTGCTGCACAACATTTAAACAAGCCTGTGTAATACTGGGAGAATATAGTCTGGTCAGATGAGACCAACATTGAACTGTTTGGATGCCAGAATACACATCATGTTTGGAGGTCAAATGGCACTGCACATCAGCCCAAAAACACCATACCAACAGTGAAGTTTGGAGGTGGGAACATCATGGTGTGGGGCTGTTTTTCAGCATATGGTACTGGCAAACTTCAAATAATTGAAGGAAGGATGAGTGGAAAAATGTACAGAGACATTCTTGATAAAAAATCTGCTTCCATCTACCAGGATGATGAAGATGAAACGTGGCTGGACATTTCAGCAAGACAATGAGCCCAAACACAAAGCCAAGGAAACTCTCAGTTGGTTTCAGAGAAAGAAACTAAAGCTGCTGGAATGGCCCAGCCAATCACCTGACCTGAATCCAACAGAAAATCTATGGAAAGAACTAAAGATCAGAGTTCATAGAAGAGGTCCACGAAACCTTCAAGATTTGAAGACTGTTTGTGTGGAAGAATGGGCCAAAATCACACCTGAGCAATGCATGCCACTAGTTTCTCCATACAGGAGGCGTCTTGAAGCTGTCATTGACAACAAAGGCTTTTGTACAAAGTATTAGATAAATTTCAGTAAGTGTGTTCAATACTTTTTCCCTGTGCCATTCCACATTATTACAAATAACTTCATTTCTGGACATTTATGGTTTGATTTCTTTGTATGTATGGATCACTTGGGTTGTTACAGACATCTGGTGAAAATTTCATGTCATTAGCACCTCTAGTAATATATTTACTGAGAAAAATGGTGACGTGTTCAATACTTATTTTACCCGCTGTATGTAGTAGTAGTAGTAGTACTTTATTCATTTTATTTGTAATACAAATTTAACAAAGGTCAAAAACATACAATCAAAATGAAATCAAATGAAATGAAAGGCGGCAGAAGAAGAATAAATCTTATAATATCTGCCCCTTTTTTATACCCAAAATATGTTCAAAAGAAAAGTAAAATACAATAAAAATTCAAAACAACTTAAAAACCTTTTAAGAAAAATAAACTTAAAATGAATTAAAACAAAATTTAAAACACAACTCAAAAAACAATTAGCATGAATTCACTTATAATTCTACATATTTCTTCAGTATACTAGTTTTTAACATTCTCTTCAATATATACATGGATCTGTCATTTTTAATCTCATCTTCCAGGCTGTTCCACAATCTTATTCCCTGGGTTAAAGTGGATCGCTCCTTCAGGCTCGTACGAACCCAATGTTTCATAAGCTTTTCAATTCCTTTAAGATAATAACAGCTCTCTCTTTTAACAAAATTTACCTGAGTGTTGAAAGGTAAGACACCTTTATGAGCTCTGTACATTAATAGTAAAATATTATAATCAACCAAATCATAGAATTTTAATAATTTCAAGTCATGAAACAATATGTTCGATGGATGGCTGTAATTTTTTCTAGTAATAACACTCATAGCTTTTTTCTGTAAAATAAAAATAGGGTTTGTGATAGTTTTACAAGCTTTACCCCATACTTCAATACAGTCAGTTACTGTAAATGTAGAACAATTATAACGTTATACAACATAAACAGTGATTTATCATTGAACAATTCTCTTACTTTGTACAGAACTCCAATTGATTTGGCTATTTTTGTTCTTAAACCATTTATATGATTTTTCCATGTCAGTTTTTCATCAATGATGACAACTATACTTCACTTCACTGACTCTACAGATCTCTACATCATCAATTTTAAATGAAACATCTATAGTTCTCTTATTGTTACAGAAAATCATATAATTTGTCTTGTCCAAGTTTAACGATAATTTATTTAGTTGAAACCAACTTTGTATTTTTCACAAATTCTGTCTGTACCATCTCCAACATTTGTTCTATATCTTTACTGGAACAAAACAATGTTGTATCATCAGCAAATAGGACACGCCCAAAAAGATCCAACATATTTACCAAATCATTCACATACAAAATAAATAACTTAGGTCCGAGAATGGAGCCCTGCGGCACTCCACATGAGATGTTACAAAACTCAGATCTTTCATTATTTATTTCTACATATTGTTTTCACTGTAATGCAGATCCTCCAATACCATATTTATTTAACTTTTCAAAAAGCATACTATGATTAATAGTATCAAATGCTTTTTTTAAATCAACAAAAATACTGATACAATACTGTACATATCAGTCCTTCTGTTCAGCATTTTTATTTAAAATCATCTTATAATGAAAAGGAGTTATAGTGCAGTCGTAAGCTGATATTTCTCTCCTCTCTTGTACCATTATCCTTCTGTAACAGTGACCTAAAGTCCTGCTGGTCTTCATCTCCAGTCAGAGTGGACAATTGTCCCTTCCTCCCCCTCTGCAAACGGCACCATGACCCAGGAGGGGCAGGCTCTGCCCTCTTCCACCCCACCTGAAAACCCACCGGAGCCCAGTACGACCAGCAGCACCGCTGACCCACCAGCAGACACACACGGCGATGCCAATGAGGACAGACCTGAGGCTCAGGAGCAGGAGGACGCAGAGGAGGAGAAACAAGAGAAACAGATCAAAGGAGAAGAGGAGGGCACTCGGAGAGACGGAGAGGAGAATGGAGTCAAGGATGAGGGAGGAGAGGGCGAGTTACTAAAGGGAAGCACTGAGGAAGAGCACGAACAGACTAAAGGAGAAGAAGAGGAAGGAAAGGATAACAAAGACATGCAGCAATCTGCTGATGAGGAACCAACTAATCCTCAACAACCTGCATGGTTAGTACACAAAACATCTGTACTGCTACACACAGTATATACTGCAGTACAACTGGGAACAATTTCCTGCTAAACAAGAAAAATAAGTTACTTTTAAGGCAGGGGCCTGCAACCTTTACCATCATTTCTGCTCCTTGTCTCACTAATAAAATGTGTTCAGAGCTTCAAAACAAGCTATAACTGTGATTATCAACTGGTGGTCCATGGGCCTTTTCAAGGCCTTTCAGGAACCTTTATGGTGAGTGGAGTTGACATTATAAAACTTTAAAAATAATAATAATTATTATTATATTATTTATTATTATACACATCAAGACAATTATGAAGGCCA